TGAAATGGAAAAGAGTATAGTGGTTGGGAAAGCAGTTCACGAGCGAGCCAGCCAGCTCTCATGCATTTATGTCATTACCAGTCTACCTCTATTCTCTATTCTCTAGCTATACCCACACCAGCAGGCCTCGGGTTAGCAGTTTTTTACCAATTCTAGTCAACATTACAGTAACTTTTAGGTGCACCCGGTTTTGGGTTTCAATCAAAACCGCCCGGGTTCCATCCAATTCCAGATGCTCCCTGTTTTCTACACCATACATATCCCAGCTTGCTGCGGTTACATACAAAAGGGAGGAAAAGCAACAAAAAAGCTAACTAGCCTAGCCTAGCATGAAGAAACCCAGCCTTGGTGAGGTTCTAATCTTGGTGATGATGGTGGCCCTCCTTTCTCTCACGGCAGCAATATCTGCGGTAGCTGAAGGCGACGACGGGAACGGCGACGGCCGTGGAGGCGGCGGCGGGGCGGTCGGGTAATTTTTCACTAAGGGAAACCGCACCCTCCCGATGCGTTTTGCGCTTCCCTAGGGTTGACCGCATCTCGGGCGTGCGATCTGCATTCCTTGGCGCGGATCGCTCCGCTGGCAAGCGTTCAGCCGCCCGATCGCATCTCCATCCAACGGTGTTGAAGACCGTTCCGCAGCAGCAATAAATCGCACCCCCCAAGTGCGTTTTCTGAACTGGAACGCACCCCTATGATGCGTTTTATAAGTAAAACGCACCCTTCTAGTGTGGTTTACTTATAAAACGCATCTTAGGGGTGCGTTCCAAAAAAAATGGTGCTATTTCTGACAATTTTTTCATATGGGTGCTAGTTTTGTAAAAAAAATTTAAAGGTGCTATTATTGGAAAAAACTCATGAATTAGAGGTGGCGATTCTCAATTCAATCCACCAATCCATTAAAAATTCAACTAATCCAATTCATTTAAATCCAATCCATTTTATCCAAATCCAATTGGATTGGTGGATTCATGGATTGGACCGTCCATGGATCATTGGCAAATTACAATTTAGTACCTATAATTTTTATTTTTTTACATTTTGATGCCTAAAAATTAATTTTTTTATACGAAAAACATCATTGAAAAATTACGTTTTGGTACCTAAATTTTTTTTCTTGTGACATTTTAGTACCTAAACTTTTCACATTTTACATATTGGTCCAAGGTTGAGGTCCTGAAGATGTCATTTGGATTCATGGATAATCCATCAATCCACTTGAACCAATCCATGAATCCGCCAATCCATTTGATCCATTGATCCACCAATCCACGAATCCAATCCATTTGCCACCTCTAGATGAAGTAAAAGTGATCTTCATTTTTTTTTTCAAAAGGTACTTTGTATTAAATGAGATAAACGAGACGTATTAGAGTCAGCTAGCCGACCAAAGCTCGTAACGAAAATCGAACCCATGTTGAGACGTCCCGAATATTAGGAGTGGTTATACGGTTCGGTCCGGTTAAATTGGCACAGATTGATCCGGTCCCGGTCCGATCATTTCAAGAATATGAGGACCGAAGATTGGATTAGATATAGTCCGATTTTGACCCGGTCCAATCTCAATATGTTCTTGATTTTTAATTGAGCTTTATTGGGGTTTGAGTGGGTTGAGGCCTAAAAGGATAAGGAGTTTGTTAGGTTTGGGTGTTGGCTCTATTATCTGGTCTTTATACGGTTTTCGGTCCGGTCTCGAACGGTTTTTTCCCCTCAAATCTAAACCGAAGACGGGATTGGATTGTTTGCTATCCGGTCACCGTTCGGTCCCGGTCCAAGTTATACGATCCGGTTTCTGGTAAAACCAAAAAACCCAGACCAAATAGCCACCCCTACCGAATATCACAATAAAAATCTCAATTAAGGCGCAAGTATAAACTTTAACCGTGTGCAATATAGGGCAAATATGTTTTAAACATCAAACCGGGCCGGTACAGGTAATGACATATGTACCTCAAATACCATATATCATTTACCTGTCAATTGCATGATCTTCTTGTCGTTAGGGTGAGGGTAGCTTACCCCAATATCGTTTCCTCTATTCTTGTTCCTAGCTTTAGCCATTCCTTATATAACAGCACTGCTTAACGGGCGTAGGCCAGGTATCAACGATACCTTCTACGACTTCTATATTGCAAACCTAACAATAATATGTTTGTTTCTAACAATGACAAGTATACCACTACTTCGATTAGTAGTTGGGGTGCGTTGTTTTTATTACTCGATCTCACACTATTATGACATCAATTTGAAAAGTGCTTTGACAGCACACCAGAAAATCTGTGCGATGCCCCCAAATTTTCACCAGCGGTTCAAAAAATATGATTAATCTCCCATAAGTCTCTTATTTCTCTCCTCATAATGTTTCCGATATATATAACAAATGAAAATTCCTTTTCAAACACTAACATTGGAGCACAATAATTTTTTTTAGTTGTGAAACTAGTGAAAAACATGTTAAAATATATAGTTAAAATTTTGTGTAGTTAACTCATTCATAGCGAAAATCACATTGTAAAATATTTTAGCTTAGATTTTATTTTGAATTGTTTTAATCATCTAAAAAATGTTTTGAGTGGTTATAAAAATATTGAATTTAGTTGTTATTTGGATTTTTACTTTTTTTGAATAATTCACCTTGAAAATTTTGGGCCTCTTGATATCAGTTCATGTCCCCGTTCTTGATCTATAAATTAATGAAAACAATTTCACTGACCAAATATACCATCATATACTATCCTGGTTCATGCTGGTGATGAAATGGATTAATTATAGTTAGTATATTTCAATTATCATGTATATAATCATTTTATACTATGATATATTCATATCACTAAAATACACTTCCATGTCACCATTGGTATAAGCAAGATTGAAGCTCCTGGAGCTTCTAACAGAGTAGCTTGTTGGCTTCCCAAGCCACGTCTGAGCGAGAAGGAAGTTTTGGATTTGCGAGTGGCGCTCTTCTTGGGACACAGGTTGGGTTGGAGAAAGATTGTCAAACCGGTTTAAGTCATTGAGCCGTTCAAGCAAGGGGTTTGAGGTTTAATGGTCTGATCGGGGTCCGGCCGGTTTGAGTTGTTTTAGTTGTTTTCTAAATAAATATACAAATAAGCTAGTAATTAAAGATTTAATAACTGGAAAGAAATTTATCTATTAAAAACATATTTTCCACAAAATAAATCTACTTAACCTCTATGATCCACCCACCATATCCCTTTCTTCGTTCCTCTTCATCTATTCCTCCTCTTTTCTTCTTATTTAGGTCAGACCGGGGGACTTTTTGGAAACCATTTTGAGACCTGATTTAGATCGGACCAGGTCCAACCAAAGGTTGGATAGGGGTTTAACAATTGGAGTATCTGATGTGATTGGTAATTGCTCACCCTATCCATTCGTGAACCCAACAATTAACAAAACAAAACGGAGAAACCCGATTTCCCAACCAAAACGACGTCTCAGACCAATCGCAAAACAGCAGAAAAAGCCGTCCAAACGGCTACTATTATAAATAAAAAGGGGGGAAACGGCTCTGTTCTTCCTCATCCTTTTCAATTTCACTCACTCTGTAGTCTGTTGTTTCGCCTTTCTTCTTCCTCTGCTTTTTTTCCTTTCCCTCACAAACGGCAAAAAAACTTTCTCAGTGAACAAACAACAGAATTCCCCCCGCTTCTTTCCTACTAACAAACTCTCTCTATCTCTGTTCCCCCCACAAACTTCCTCGGCCGTTTCTCAGCAGAAACCAGAAGAGGGGAGAAACAGCAGTGGGGGATTTCTGTGTCCGCGCGATCACACCCTCTCTTTCCGTTTCTTTAGTTCGGATAAAAAGGGTCGTCGCAGAAGAATTTCCGGCAATGCGGCAGAAAGAGAACGAGCAGGCTTGGAGTTGCGATCGGAAAGTTCAAGCTCGGGGCTTCCTCACCCCGCCGCCGCACACTCGTGCCCGTCGCCGTCTCTTTCCGCCGCCGCCATTCTCGGAGAGGAAGATGGAATCCTCCTCCGCCAACGCCAACTCTTCACCCGTCGGGAGTTGCAAGCACGACCTCTTCCATGTCGTTCACAAGGTCCCCGCCGGCGATTCTCCCTACGTCAAGGCCAAACACGTTCAGGCAAGTCCAACCCAAATAAGTCCACCTTTCTTTCTGTTCCTTTTCTTTTCTTGTCTGGGTATCTCAGTTCTGGATGAATTTCGAATTTGAAACGCCGCCTGGTAAAAAGTTCTCTGTTTCTTGAGTTATGTTGAACGTCTTTGGAGTTTTTCGCATGCCAAGTGTTCTGATGATTGCCTCTGTGGAATTCTCTCTCTCTTTTTTTTTCCTGGGTTCGTTCAGTTGATTGAGAAGGACCCGAGCAGGGCTGTCTCCATGTTCTGGGCCGCCATTAACGCTGGTGACCGAGTTGATAGTGCCTTGAAAGACATGGCTGTGGTGCTGAAGCAATTGAATCGTTCTGATGAGGCAATTGAGGCCATCAAATCCTTTCGTCATCTCTGCCCTCAAGAATCGCAGGAATCCATTGACAACGTGCTCGTTGAACTCTACAAGGTAATTTGGTACAAACCCAGATATCGATTGCCCTCTACTTTCCTTACTTGGAGAACACGGCCCTGACCCTGCTTCTTTTTGTTGATGATGTCTGTTTTGTTTATCTTACAGAGGTCAGGAAGGGTAGAGGAAGAAATTGAAATGCTTCAGCGCAAGCTGAAGAACATAGAAGAAGGAATGGTGTTCGGTGGGAGAAGGACAAAGGTCGCCAGGTCTCAAGGCAAGAAGATTCAAATAACCGTTGAACAAGAGAGGGCTCGAATTCTAGGAAACTTGGCCTGGGCTTACTTGCAGCAGCACAATTATGGCTTAGCTGAACAACATTACAGGTATGTAACTGGAACTTGGCTGTGAATACCAAAACAAAAAAGAAGAGTTACTCTCCATGCTTGTTCTGATGGAAATGGAGTTCGTTAATTCTTCTTCTGCAGGAGAGCTCTGTCCCTGGAGCCTGATAGGAACAAGCAATGCAACTTGGCATTGTGTCTGATGCACATGAACAAGCTCCCTGAAGCAAGGGCTCTGCTTCAAGCCGTAAGAACTTCTTGTGGGAACAAACCAATGGAGGAATCTTACGCGAAATCGTTTGAGCGTGCTTATCAGATGCTGACGGAGTTGGAGTCACGCCAATCAAGTGATGAACCTCCTTCTGCTTCTTCTTTGCAAACGCAACCAGTTGGTGATCACCATGGCTGGACGGAATGCCCCTATTTTGCTGCTGCTACACCTCCTCCGCCTCGAAGCTTTGGCATCCTCATGAACAGCGGAAGGCACCGCCATAGGCAGAATTGCTACGCTTCAACGACACCGGTGCTGTTCTCTCAGCCGAGAAGGTGTTTATTCGGAAATTTGGGAGTAGAGGGATTCCCAAGTAGTACTACAAATCATGGAGAGCAGCAACAGTCGAGTGGGGGAGGGACTGAAGCTACTGCGTTGAAAATTGAAGCGAGTATGGTCACCCCTCGGCTGGAATCCCAGCCAAGATGGGTGGCCGCTTCTTCTTCACCTTCGCCTGCTGAAAGAGACTGGAGGAAGCCGTGGACACAAGCCGCTGCTGCGGCTACTACTCCCAGGAACAATGACAATAATAATATACTGGTGAAGTTTCCAGTGGGTACGAACAAGAGTTGGGCTGAGATGGTTGAAGAAGAGGAGGCCGAAGCAGAGCTGGGAAAGCTACCAACAGGTTGGAAGACTGATGATGTAACAGGAACTCTGGGCGAGAACTGGGATGCAAACATGGCTAATGATGTAAGGAGCTGGTATACAAAGAACGAGCAGCAATCTTCCCAAACTGACGGAGTTGGTATATCGAGGACAACAGCCGCATTGAGACGCCTGTGCTTCGACGTAGCTGGGAAAAATATGAACACCACGACGACTAAGAGAAGAAACCGTCTCCAGGTCTTCAAGGACATAACCCCAACTCCAGATAGTCCACGAGCATCTTCTGCGGCAATGTTAATGAACAAGAAAGAAACGGCACTCTAAATTCGTTGATTCTTTTGTAAATGGTGATTTGTATATCATTCCTTCAATCATTCTTTCAATGTAATACATACAAGTGACGAATAAATAATTCTCCTCCCCGGAGAAGGGCTGTTTTCCAGATACCATTTGCAGTGCAGATACCAATTACTGTCTCCCTTTTTGTACTAACCATACAAGAATTGCGTAGCATTCACTCAGAAGGGGGACAAGACCTGAACTGAGTAGCAGAAACATGAAGGGAGAAAAGATCAATTAACTTAATGGATCGTATTGAGCCAGGACAAAATTGATTAGGATCTCTCATCTGTCTATGTAAACCTGAGTAGTACAGAGAGGGATCTGAAGTTGCTCAGTCAAAACTTAGATACATCCTCCTCCGAAAGCTTTAATCGGTGAATCACAACTCCATTTTGAGCATCAGAAATCTTCCCCCATCTTCCCAGACGAGGTTCCTATTGCAGAACGAACAGATGATCTGTCAGCTTATTATTACGAGGCAAGGATATGAGAGCATATTATCGAAACAACAAACCAGAATCTGTATATTGAGAGTTCATGTTACCTTGCCAATGCCAACAACGAGGAACTTTCCAGATTTTGCAAAAGCCATAGAGTTTACAAAGCCAACCTGTGTGTGTTCAGAAAGAAGAGAGCTTGTTAAGTAACATCAAAAGGAGTATTCAGGATGAAATAATGCATAGGAAAGAGAATGTCAAATGAGAATGTTGATATATGATTTGTTTGCTAACCAGAGGAAGATCAAACAAGGGTCGAATGACTTTTGGAGAACTATTAATAGCCCATAAACGGACTGAACCATTGCCAGCTCCTGATGCTGCCAAATCGCTTCCTCTGCATGCAGCAACTGAGCTTACCCAGGAATATGCTGATGACAGTAATGATAATATGTGAGTGGGATGATTAAATAACTAGGGACATTAAAAGCTGAGCACCTCATGATATAAAACCATTTTTTGTCCACAATGGCCACTTTAATTGACGTATAAATAAACACCACCAGCAAGAAGCAGGTTACGTCCATCACCATTAGAGGGTTTCCGGTTGTCCTTTTCTTCATCCCTGATGTCAGATGGCATAGCATGAGCGTCCCTGATACAGTCCACGGGCTTCTTCCTTTGTACAGTCCGCAGCTCGACACTCCCATCATCCGAGCCAGAGAAGAAATCCTCATAATCAATTAAACAACAGCTCTCTAAAGCCGAGGTAGAAGAACGAAAAATTACTCGGGACTCCTCAGGGACCTGTGTGCAAAATCCAGATATGAGATGTCAGCATTACACCCAATTGAAAGTAGAATTTAATACAGGACATAAACTGAGAGAGAAGATGTAATGGTTCGGGATGCCACTCTACAGTAGCATGCAGAAGAAGATGCTTAATATAGGCCATTGGAAACTTATAAGTCGCAGCCCATATAAACGCTTATAACAACTTTAAACCACGAGTCAACCATGGATCAAAATGTCAAGACAAATTGAGAAGTGTTCCTCTTTTGTACCTTAAAAAACTGCATAGTACGATCACGTCCTACAGCCAATACCCTTTCTTTCCGTAGGCAATCAACATTTAAAACGTCACTTTGATGACCAAATAATGTGCTTATGTAAGTCCTGTCTGCAACATTCCATATCTTGATCGATCTATCAAATGAACCAGAAAAGAGTTCTGAAGTCCCATGCCTAAATGCTAGACATGACACAGCTCCTCTGTGGCCTGGGAAAGCCTGGAAGACATTTAACAAGGATTCAAATGAGAAGAAGTGAAGAACAGTAGAATCACACAAATTCATAGATAGGCATATTTGACAAATAAGATATAAGAAACCAGCCAAGATACCTGAACATGTTCACGTGTCCGAGTATCCCATAAGTGAATGTGCCGATCTGACCCTCCACTAGCCAAATACCGGCCATCTGGGCTAACAGCTAACGCTAAAACACTTTTACTATGTTTTGTAGCTCGACCTTCTGGATCCTTGGCTCCATGGGATTTCAAAATTTTGTCAGTTGGCCATTTGTATCTTTCGCTTTTCCCACTCTCTATATCCCAACTAACGATTGAACCATCTTTGGAAGCAGAAAAGCCCCTCAATTCATCATCTGATAGGCACACTGCAGTGACAGGATGTGTGTGCTTCACTAGGTACCGAAATCCATCACCAGTTTCAGGCTTCTGAACCCTAAACCATTGACGAAAGTAAGTTGCCATCCAAATACAAACACATTCCACTGGTCAAATTCTGGCACAAGCTATATATATCTACATCTTAACAGGCTCGAAATGTCAACAGAAGGAATGTGTCACAATCCATTCACTGCTACCAAAGAAGAGTGTCTCGTCTTTAGTAACGAATGCTTGAAACTTTAACAAGCCTCAAAGGAATAAACTTTTTCATAAAATGAAACCAAACGTATAGTTTCTTCAACTAGCTTACCTAGAAGCAACATCCCTCCTCAAGCGCCCACTCTCCTCCAACTGTTCCTTCATCAACTTCCGAGCAACTAAGGAATCCCTCTCGCCTTCCTTCTCATACCCTTTTCCTTCTTCCACTTCCCCATCGTCCTCCTCTGCCCTTTTCTTCTCAATAGCCATAAGATTTTGCAGAGCCTCTTTTCCAAGCCTTACTTTTTTCTCGGCGGCTGTCTCATCGGCGTATTCATCAATCTCTTCATCCTCATCGCCGTGTCCAGAGCTCGCGTCCGAGCCAGGGTACCCATTCTCCTGGTCTGACTCCCCTGACTCAATATCATCATCGCGGAAACCCCCCTTCCGCCGCCTCTTCGTATCGGGATTGAAAAATGAATCGCCATTGCTCTTGGACTTGTTTGGACCTCCCAGTCCTCGCTTCGCCGGAGCTTTGCCCTTCATGAGTAAGAAATTATCAGGGCGCCAGGGTAGAGAGGCAACCCTTCTGGCAGTTGTAGAAATCTGGTAAAGCCGCGACTTCGAAAGTTGCAGGATAGTCAGGGGGGAAACTAGGGAGGTGTATTAGGGCATTCTGGGGAGAAAGCTGCACAGGGGTTTAACGTTAGGGTTTATTTGTCTCGGTGGAAAGGAAGCGGCAAAGTGATCACGGAGAGGAAACAGGAGGAAGATCTGGGTCTGGTGGTCGGATCGTGCAATCTACAGTTAATCGGGTTCTCTCAGGTGAAAGGCTGTTGATACATGGGCCGGGAGCCCAATGGAGTTCTTATACAGGCTTACTCTTCGTGTCAAACTAATCATATTCAAGGTATTATAACGATAATGGCTAAGGGTGGTTTGGATGGATCAATCTAGAAATGAGTCAATTTGATCAATTGTCTCGTTTTATAAACGAGGCAATTAAAACGAGTCAATTCGAATTATCTGCCCCCACCCCAGGCAGTGGCGGATACATGATGCTTTAGGGGTGTCCCGGACACCCCTAAATTTTGGGAACACGATTATTCAACCCCCGGTAGTAGTTTCGTAAGGATAAACAAAATATAATTAGTAATCTGGGACACCTCTAAAATTTTAATAAATTATTTATCTTACCCTCGATAGTAATTTGCGTGATTAAAAAAATATAAGTGGTACTCTGTGTTATTCAAATCTAGGACACTACTATTATTTAACATCTTCTCCATTAGGTTATAACTCATTTGTTCTATTTTAAACACTATGTAATGGTGAAAACGCGATTTCTTATCCCCAGGGGTACCCTAATTTGAATTGATTTTGTGGTAACACTGCAAGTGTTGAAACAGTCTTTTCAACTCTGAATTACATCATGAACGAGGTTAGAAATTGAATATGCGATCTAGTAGGATATACCGTTTGTTGAGCAGTGTACACACCAAATCTATCTTATATTTTTTTCGAAATATGAAAACACATCGTGACTTTTTGTCAACATTTATACTAATTGGATATTTTATTATTTATGTATTATTTAATTTAATTCAATTTTTGGAAGAGGACACCCCTACAAAAAATTTCTGGATCCGCCACTGACCCCAGGTAATTGAAATTGACTCAAAACGGATCAATTCAAAATACCTCATGCAGATTAATCCATCCAAATTTTTTGCTGGCAAACGAGGCAATTTGATACAATTGTCTCAAAACGAGACAATTGTGTCAAATTGATCCGTTACAATTCCTCATCCAAACGACCCCTTAAATTATATGTTTGGTCACTCAAATTATACAAATCTTTTACGTTTGCCACCTGAATTATTTGTCTTTCTTATTTGCCACTAACTTTATGAATCGTTTCACCGTTAGTCACCGGCCGTTACACTCCGTTAAATTTATCCTACGTGGCAGTCAACTATAAAGTTTGACCGTTAACTAGATGATGTGGAAATTAAAAAAATTATTTATTTTTCCACCTCATCTTTCCACTTACTTTATCTGCATAATTTATCATTTCAATTATTTAATAAAAATTAATTAACTGCCCGCACGACAATCTCCTCCACTACATTGTCGGAGAGATCCAGATGGCCGCCGTCCAAGGTCCGACGAGTATCGGACCTTGGTCCAACCCTCGATGCATTCTCCAAACAACCACGATTTCCAAAAAAAACCACCCCCTGCATCGACACGGAAGATTTTTACTTATTCAGGCTCTGCAATTCTCATAAAAAACGATCGACCATTGTGAACAACATTCGCGTAGGGCGTCACAACATACATATCGAATGTGTACACAAAAAAGGCCAGGACAGAGTCCTTAAAGACCGACAAGTATCGTAATAAGCAATGCTAGTGAAGATAGGGCGCCAATCTTCTCGTCGAAATTGGAGTCACAGTCAGGGGAGACACTAACCTCGAGACACGAAAGCATATAATTTTGAATCCACAACTGCGAAACCCATAACTTGGTAGAATTGTCCTCGGGATTTGCTGATGGCGCTGGCGGTCGGTAACGGTGGCGGTGCGGTACACCGTCGGGTTGGTGACAGTGATATTTGCGGCCTTTTTGTCGCGACCCAGATGAAATGGACGAGTATCAGACGTTGGTCCACCCTCGATCTCGACGCCGACGGGTCGACGAATCGCCACCCTCACTAGCTTGGTCCACCTCGGGGAATGAGTTCGTGCGTCCCTGTTGCGAAGTTCCGACGAAGGCAAGATGAAGAAGAGGAAGAGGAGGAATAGGGTAAATCACCCGCCGCCTCTACAATTCTTTCCTCTCACTCATAATTAATTTGTGTATTTTAATTAGTTTTTTTATTAAGTCATTAATATGATAAACCATGTAGATAATATAAGTGGAATGATGAGGTGAAAAAATAAATTTATTTTTATATTTTTTTAATTTCCACGTCAATCTAGTTAACGGTCAAACTTTATAGTTGACTGCCAAGTAGGATAAATTTAACGGAGTGTAACGGCCGGTGACTAACGGTGAAACGATTTATAAAGTTAGTGACAAATAAGAAAGAAAAGTAATTTGGGTGGCAAACGTGAAAGATTTGTATAATTTGAGTGACCAAACGTGTAATTTAGCCTAACGATAATTATGGAAAATGTATGCACTTTGGATCATAATACGGGATTCTAGAATAGACATTTCTATGTGTTGTCAATGAAAAATGAGAGGAATAAGATGAAACCAAGTGAAGCAGTTATAGTTTGAGGTTTGAACTGATGTTTTTGTTGATATTATCATAGTTGTAAAAAAATCACGACGATATGATGCTCATATGTCATAAGATAATTCTTACTATAGTGTTAATATTGTCATACGATGATGATATGACAGATAAGAAGTATTATCATTGTGATAATATTCTCATCTGTTGATACTAAAGAGTATTTTTTGGACTTTGTTGTTTGTTGGAACTCATATCTTAGTTTTATCAAGTTCATATCAATTCATATTGATTCGTATCAAGTTCATATCAATGCAATATGAAAATTATATCAGTTCATATGAAGATTATTTCATATTATATCAGTTCGTATCCAGTTCATATCAAGGTCCTATCAGTTTATGTCAAGATCGTATAAGTACATATCATATGTTCATATAAGTTCATATCAAGTTCAAGTAAGTTCATATCAAGACCATATGCTTGTGGTATGATGATGATGATATATGACGATGATACGATCATATGTTAGTGGTATGACAAAGTAGATTTTGAAAATTTTCACATGTTTCAAATTAAACAAGATATAACATACTAGATTATTAGCTAAAACCAATCCCAATTACATTATCTAGGTGCTATAATAAAAGGAAGTGTTCTAAAGGTTAACTTTAACTTATATTGAAAGTACCGACCAAATGAAACAAAACTGAAAATTGTCTAAGATACATTGGGACATAAAATTTCTAGTTTTCTTGTGGTATCATGTTCTCACGAATACATCTTTGTTGCTATCTTGAAGATCCTTTCGTGCTCCAGATTATCTTTGTTGGCTACGATGTCTGTGATTAGCTTGTCTTTTGATGCATTCATGAAGTCAAAATCCTCCCATTGAGTTCTCATATATGCCTCATACTTAGCTTCCATTTCTCAAACCATTTTGATTACAAAATTCCACATTACTTGTTATTAGGCTATGTAACATTCTTCAAGTTGGATTCACTAAATTCTTCAAAGTCAATTTGTTTGAGTAGTGGTATGTATTTGGTGATATACTGATAGACCCCAAAATCTAGGGTGCGAGAAACGCGATAAATTGGGAATGAGTGTAGGATTGGAAATTGAAAGAACGAGTTGAGAGAGAGAGAGAAAGAAGGGTTCGGTCGAAGCCTAGGGAAGAGAGTAGGGGTTTCGGCTAGAGAGAGGAAGAACAGAGAGAGAGGATTAGGGTTTTGATATTCTTATAATCTTATTATATGCTTAACCATAAACTTGACTTACAACGATACTTATACTAATCGACAATTATCCCCTTTACTCCCCAAAATAATAACCTAATCATAATACTCCCTCCCCAACAATGGATCGACATAATAATACGAATAGTAAACCGACAATTAAATAATAATCATAAAATATGTTCATCATCCCCTTCCCCTTGAAGCACAACCTTGCCCTCAAGGTTGATCCTTCTCGTCACGATCCACCTTCATTTCCATGTCATCTTCCTCATCCACTTCATCCTCCCAACGCCCCAAGAGCATCATCATATCCGGCGTCGCGCACTGGTGTCCAACAACGAACTTCTCATTGCAGTTGAAGCATTTCCCTTCCCTCCTCTTCTGCTCTATTTATGCAAGGGTTAAGCGAACAAACACCTTTGGTGGCGCTCGAATTCCCGCACAATTATCCCAGGTCCTGCTGCCCCGACGAATCCCGCAGCAGTTCCAGCACCACCCATGGAACCTCCTCCGCTTCTTCCCGCCGCCACGGCTGATCCGCCACTCCCGCTCGACTTCGGGTACCTCCCCAATGCGCTCCGCCAGCTTGCAATCTCCTCCTCTTTGAGCCCTGCCAAATGGAAAGCAGACCTCAGCGAGTCAGGCTCGAAAGCTCTTACCGCTGCAGCAATCTCTGGACTCAGCCCTGCCATGCACAACCCGACCAAGGTGTCTTCCGGCACTCCCTTGCACTGGTTCCCCAACTTAAGGGACTCTGCCTTATATTCAACGACCGTTCATGTTTGCCTCAACTTTGCCAGTTGCTCTGGCACCCAGCCATCCGACTTGCCAAACTGATAACGAACCTCTTCATGAAATTGAGGCCACGATATGGGTGTCCTCATCTCCGTGTATGTCCTCTCCAACCACTCCTCCCACCACTGCAGTGCAACGCCTTCTAAGTAGAAGGACTCCAGATAGGCTTTCCTCTCCTCGCGCACGTCATGGTTCTTGAACCACTTGTCAGATGCATACAACCATAACCCAGCATTCTCCTGGCCATTGAATTTTGGAAATTCGATGGTTGGAGGTTTAGCTCGAAACACCAGATCACCATAACCCTCATAGTTCGAGCATTCCCTCCATACCTGCCGATATCTGGGGTCGTTGCACGGAAGTGCGGTCGTTTCTGCTCCCGCTCCGAACTCCAGGTGCCACCATACTCTTCTCGCCTACTCATCTCCTTTCCCCCGCGTCCCTGCTCAAACTCCAACTGCCTCTCCATGGTCCCATCCTCCATTCGAGCCGCCCCGTAGGGAAGGTAGCCACCTCCCTGCTCTTCCCGCTCCATCCGCCAGTCGCCTTTGCCGTAGCCAGCCTGCCCGCCTCCTGGTCCGAAATCAGCCTGGT